TGATTTTCGTTTCTTCATTCTTTCATGGGATGTGGGCATTGCTGGCAAGGCCAGTGTTTGCTGCCCCTCCCTAAATGAGTGCCTTGCTCAGTCAATGCAGAAGGCAGTTAAGAGTCAACCACATTGCTGTGGGTCTGGAGTCACATAGGCCAGACCGGGTAAGGATGGCAGATTCCCAACCGTAAACGGCCCTAGTGAACCAGATAGGTTTTTTCTTTAATCACAGTCAAAGGTAGTTTCATTATCTTCATTAGCTTTCAATTCCAAATTTGTGGTTGATTTGAAATGCCACGATGGGATTTGAACCCATGTCTTTAGTTCTGAAGCAGAGATACCTTGGTCTTGATACCCTGTTGCTCTCTCTGCGGATGCTACTGGACTTGCTGAGTTTCTCCAGCATTCTCTGTTTTCCTTGCCAGGTCATTAGTCTGGGGTTCTGGATTTTGGATCAGCTGACATTACTACTGTGCCGCTGCATGGCCATTGTCCATGCTGGGAGATGGTATGAAGAGGAAACAGTAGGGAGAAGAAAGAGAGAAAACAGGCAAAAACATCTTGCATTTATGTGGTGCCTTTTAAAGATTCATTGAATGATAGAGTGCTCGGAGCCCATTTGGGTCCAATGTGCCCGTGCTGGCTTTTTGAAAATGAATCCTAACCTCTTATTCTGCCATAGTCCTGTTGTTTCTGAAGTGGCTGAACAATTCTTTACCCTCCGTGAAACCGCCTGAGCGCATTGCCAAGTTCAACAAGAAAGCCCCCAAAAACAACAAAAAACAGAAGTTGCTGGAAAAGCTCAGCATCTGTGAAGAAAAAAAATCAGAGTTAACGTTTCGGGTCCGGTGACCCTTCCTCAGTTTATTCTTCACGAATGCTTCCAGACCTGCTGAGCTTTTCCAGCAACTTGTTTTCGCTCCTGATTTACAGCATCCGCAGTTCTTTCGGTTTTTTTTTAAGAAAGCCTCCAGTATTGCTTTCTCAAAGCGGCAAAGGATGGGCTTTAAATGCAAGGCTTTGCTGCTGATGCCCATAACATGAGCATGACAAAAAGAATATGCTTAACGCCACGTAACCACAGTAGACAGAGGTGCAGCATACAGATGCATTAAAAATAGATTGGAGGGGGATGTTCCCTTTGCAAACAGGTCTTACAGGAGTTGAAGCATAGCTGTGTTCAATTGGTGAATTTGGGTAGTTTGAATCCAACTGGGAGTGGGCAAGAGCCCAGGGTGTAAAACCATCCCATATTCATTGCCAATTTCTCAAGCTCTTGCAGAGGTCTCTTACTGTGGGAAATGGAAAGGAATTACCAGACTACTGCAGTAGGGGGTGCTCTTTGAAAGTTGAGCCAGATTTGAGTGAGCTTTACTCTTCATTTCAGTCGCAAGTATTTCAGTCCCTGCACTGTAATGAGATGCCTCGCTTTAAATTAAAACGCAGCAATGTTTTAGCAGTGGGAACTTTCAGTCTTTAACCTGCAAATTCTTGGTTCTTACTTTTCCTGCTGCTTGTCCCTTTTTCTTCATGTTCTCCCAGGAAAAGTGACAATTGCAGAAATGCAGAAGGATGTTTTCCCCCTTTCATCCCCTCTGTCAAAACAGATCTCTCCATTACCACTGTTGCAGAGCCCAACTGTTCCTTCGAAGATGACAGAGTTGTATAAATTTCCGCTCTCGCACTTAGTAACCCGACCCCGGCAGCAACTGAGCTGTGGACGAGGAGAAACTTCTGTGACCTTTGCGCTTCATGTTACATTCTGCTGTTTTCAGCCGGTGCCGCCACCACCCCCCCACCCCCCACCCCCCACCCCAACCCACTTTGTCATGGCCGGCAGGAGATAGAAATGCAGGCAGTTGTTGTTGTTGTAATGTGTTACTGTTGTTGTCCCTGGGTTGCTCACGAAAGCGTGGCCTGGTGGAGAATGTTAGTGCTCTTTGCCAAGGTGGCAGGCCATTCGGCCCGTCTATAGGGTTTGCCCTTTTTAAACCGCGACTTGACGTCACCTCAGTGCCAGTTCAGTTTGTTTAGGTCGCTCACACATCCCCAATAGATCGTGCACAGTGACTCTGACCTTGTACTTTGTATTTCTGGTCACACAGGAACTGGAGCCATATATTGGATGCAATGACATCATGGCATTATAGCTCGATTATTAATCCAGAGACCCAGGTTCAAATCCCACCATCACAGCTGGTGGCCTTTTGAATTTTTTTAGTAAAAGGACTCTTGAATTAAGAATCAAATGATTGTCATGGGGAAAAAAAAATACCATCTAGTTCAATAATGCTCTTTAGGGAAGGAAAGCATGTCAGACATGATCAAACAATGGAGCAGACTCAATGGGCTGAATGGCCTAATTCTGCTCCTAAATCTTATGGAAACTGCTGGCCTACTTGTGACTCCAAACCATGGCAATATGTTTGATGCCTAACTGCTTTAGGGGGAAATGAGAGATGGGCAATAAACACTGGCTCAGCCAATGATGCCTACTTCCCACCTCTGCACTCTCCCAAGCAGTTACAATACGTTACTCTGCTTTAGAAGATCATAGAGTCCCTGCAGTATGGAAACAGGCCCTTTGACCCAACACTCAGAGCATCCCACCCAGACCCATTCCCCTTTAGTCCACCTAATCTACATGTCCCTGGACACTATGGGGCAATTTAGCATGGCCAATCCACCTAACCTATCTTTAGACTGTGGGAGGAAATCCACACAGACATAGGGAGAACATGCAAACTCCACACAGACAGTTGGAATTGAACCCAGGTCCCTAGTATTGTGAGGCAGCAGTGCTAACCACTAAGCCACTAAGCCACCAGGCCACCCCTGCTTTGTAATTGTCCATTTCCACATGGGATCATAAAATCTTGCAGCTCAAAAGAAGGCCATGCAGCCCACTGTACTCATACCATCGCTTTGAAAGAACTGTCCGATTAGTCACACTCTTTCACCCATCACTTCTCTCTCTGTCTCTCCCCCATGTCTCTGAAGTGCGCATAGTTCCAGGAATGCCAAATAACAAGGTCATTCAGCTCAGTTCAAAATATTGCATTTTTCAAAAAAAGAAATGAAAAGGTAGAAGAATAGTTTGGTCAAGAGCAAGAAATACAGAGAATTCAATATAGTTTTATAGGTATGTGGTTAGGGCTAGATTTATTTAGATAGAAAGACATTGATCTATTTAGAGAGGTTGATAGATATAGACAGATGAATGGCGATATAAATAAACCTATTATAAATAGACTAATAAATGCATGGATAGATACAGTTAGAACAAACAAATAGATAAATATAGAATGATGCAGTAGAAAACAGAAGGATAAAGAGATAATCCAAAATATAGACTGAGACGGTGAACAAGCAAATAGACAAATAGATAGATAGATATCTAGTCAGAGAGTTAAACTGTGAACTAAAGAGATAGACAAATAGATATGCAAATCAGTGAATAGATATCTAAATGGAAGGGTAGCTGAACAGATAGTTAAACAGATAGGAACACATTGATAAATGAATGAAAGGCAGGAACACGCTTAGATTAATGAATGATAGGAATACCGATAGATGGATCAATATCACATGGAGAGAGAAGTGGTGTAGAAAGGATCAATAAGATGTAAAATCTCCATCCTGTGCCAGATATCGTTTAGTCGCTGTGTGCTTTCAGTGATCCAAGTCCTGGAGGCAAGAAGCCATATTTCTTCATAAGCCAAGTGTCATTGCATGTGTATAATCCTAATAGTTTTCAATTTGCTCTTAACTCCACCAATTCATTCCTTCATTTCAATCCATCTGTTTTAATACTTCTGAGGGCACCTGACAGAGTCAGTCTTGTACCACGAGACTCTGCAGTTTAGATGTTCTCCACAACTTCTGACTCAGTGGTGAATGAAAAATGCAACCATCCACATTGAGTCAGACCCACTGACGGTGCTGAGGCTTAGAGAGGGCCTTACCAAACTTGCGCGGTTTAACTGCAGAAAGTACAGTAAGCTAAAGCCTTAGGATCAGGATAGGACTGAATCAGCCAGAGATCCTCCCTCATAGCCACTAGATTTAGGGACCCAGCTGATCTTCCTCAATCCCAGCCCAGTGATTCTGAATGGAGTCGCACTGATGTCCACTCTGGGTAAGATCAGCTAGCTTTATCTTTATTATTCATTCACTGGATGTGACCATCTCTGGCTTTATTGCCCATCCCTAATTGCTGAGAGGGTGTTTAAGAGCCAACTACATTGTTATAGGCCTGGAGTCACATGTAGTCCAGACCATGTGACAATGGCAGTTTCCTTCCCTAAAGGCCATTAGTGATACAGACAATTGGCAATGAGTCATCATTAGATTCTTGATTCCAGATTATTATTATTGAATTCAAATTCCACCTTCTGCTGTGGCGGGATTTGAACCCAGATCCTCAGACCATTACCTGGGTCTCTGGATTAACAGTCCAGCAATAATAATACCATTAGGCCACACCTCCCCTAGCTCTGCTGAGCTGGAGGAATCTTTTCCAATGGTATGGCTCAGTTCAACGTTACAGACGCACAACCTATCAAGAAAGAGCTTGTAATTAGATTGTGTCTGAATTGATCCCAGGGTGTCTGAAAGCACTTTACAGTCACTTGAAAATGTTTGAAGTGCAGTCCCTATTGTAATATAGGAACTGTGGCAGCCAGTTTGCACTCAGCAAGCTCCTACATTAGACCATGTGATAATGACTAGATAATCTGCTTATTTTTCTGATGTTGGTTGAATGATCCATTTTGGGCAGGATTCTGGGAGTAGGGGTTGGGACAGAGACCTCCCCTCCTGTCTTCAAAGTAATACCTTAGGATACCTTATCCACTTAGGAGGGCAGGTGGGGCTTCAGGTTCAATGTCTTACCTGAAAGGTGGCACCTCTGACTGTGCAGCATTCCCTCTGTACTGCGTGGGAGCCTTCTAGCTTACAAACAGGTTAAAGGTTGTCCTAATGATTATTTTTCTCTCATATTGCAGGCAATCATATACGAAGGGCAGGATAAGAATCCAGAGATGTGTCGGGTGCTCCTCACTCATGAAATCATGTGCAGGTACGTGAAGGAAGTATTCTTGTTCTCTAGCAACCATTAGGGAGTCACAAAAGGAAGCTGGGTGAATGCCTTCATGTCTGTTATCTTGGAGCTCTGAGATTTGTAGAAGGATAACCCAGCGAAAGATGACAGTGGGACGTGAAGTGGCAAATTGGTGCATTTCTCAAGGGGGAAATGATGAGGAATAGGATTAAGAGTCTAAATATGACCATGAACCATCATTGGTTGTCAGAAAAAGCCACCTTATTCACTAATGTCATCTAGGAAAGGAAATATGCCATCCTTACCTGGTCCGGCCTACATATGACTCCAGACCCACAGCAATGTGGTTGACTCTCAACTGCCCTCTGGGCTATTAGCAATAGGCAGCTGTTGTGGGGGAGCCTGAGAACCAGGAGAAACAGTTTCAACACAGAACCACAGAGATCCACAGCACAGAAAATAACCCTTTGGCCCCTCGAGTCTGTGCTGGTCAAAAACAACCATCTCATTATTCTAATCCCATTTTCCAGCACTTACCCAATAATCTTATATGTCTTGGCATCGTAAGGGGACAGAGACCATTTTTATGATTCTTTCATTTAAGATGGAGTTGAGGAGTTTCTTCTCTGCGAGGATGGCTAATCAAGTCAGCTTTGATCCTATTGGCTGGTGGAGCAGGCTTGAGGGGTCAAACCTTTCTTGCATTGTGTTGTTTTTTTATTGAATAGGACTGACTGTAATTTACAAGGTGGGTGGGACCCGTGATCTCCAGGGTGAAAGGTCATGATCTGCAGGGTGAACATTGATATTCTGTGGGGAGGACACCTCTTGAATGACGTTATTGTTGATGGTTTGCGAGTTGGTAGATGAGCCAATGTGGGTTTCTCCAAATGGACAATATGGTGGCTCAGTGGTTAACAATGCTGCCTCACAGCACCAGGGACCTGGGTTCAATTCCACCCTTGGGCTACTGTCTGTGTGGAGTTTGCACATTCTCCCTGTTTCTGCGTGGATTTCCTCTGGGTGCTCTGGTTTCCTCCCACATCCAAAGATGTGCAGGTTAGATTGTGCTAAATTGCCCATAGTGTTCATGGATGTGCAGGCTAGATGAACTGGCCATGGTAAATGCAGGGTTACAGGGATATGGTTGGGGGATTGGGGATCTGGTTGGGATGGTCTTTGGAGGAGTATGGGATGGGCTGAATGGCCTGTTTCCATGCTGTAGGGAATTCTGTGAATGTGACTTTCAAGCAAAGCTTCCTGGAAGAAGCTAAGAGTTGGCTGAACTTGGAAAAGATCCCGAGCCCATTAAAAGCCAGCATTAGTTTGCAATGATTTTAGACAGAGTTACAGTATTTGCTGTAAATTCAACCCATGTAACTGGAGGTTAATCCTTTCAAGTACTTTGCAGTGGCAAAGCAAATTTCTCCCCAGCTGATTAATGAGCTGTGCCATTATGAGAAGTTTTTAGTGCAGCAGCAATGTCACTAGATCAGTGTCCCAGATCCCGTAAGATGAAGGTTAAAATCTACCAGGGAAGCTGGTGGAATTAAATTAAATGCAATTAATAAAATCTGAAATTACTGTCAGTACTATTGTCCGTGACAATTCTCATCAGTTGTGCTCTGGTTCATTAATGTCCGTTAGGAAGGAAATCTGCATTCCTTACCTGGCCTGGCCTACACATGACTTCACAGCAATGTCGTTGTCTCTTGACTGCATTTTGGAAATGGCCCTAGCAAGTCAACTTTTCTGAAGAAGGGTCTAGGCCCAAAACGTCAGCCTTCCTGCTCCTCTGATGCTGCTTGGCCTGCTGTGTTCATCCAGCTCTACACCTTGTTATCTCTTATTATAGTAGATTGAGATGGCTCACAAACTCCAACTCTTTCAGTGAGGTCCTCATCCCAAAAAAGCGAGTACAATTTTGTCATTTAAAAAACATTTGGACAGTTCCAGGGATATGGACCAAACGCAGGCAGATGGGACTAGTTTAAATTGTGAAAAATGGCAGGCATGGACAAGTTGGGCCGAAGGGCCTGTTTCCACGTTGTAGACCTCTATCATTCTATGACTAGATAATTGGCTGTAATTTGATCTGTCGATTCGCCTCAGATCTTTAATTCACTAAGATCCTCAGCACCTAAAACAAGTTGTTTTTATACTGAATCAGAAAATTCTTGAAAAGCTCAGCATCTGTGGTGAGAAAATAGGATTAAAGCTAAGTAGGCTTCTGATAACTCTGCTGAGCATCTTATATTTTCATGTCAGATTCCCAGCTTCTGCAGAACGTTACTTTCACATCTGCATGCTGGGGATCTGGGCAAGTAGATTGGGAAAGCTTTTATTACCCAGAAAGTTTCCTACTTCTAAGGTTGAGAACCATTCAATGTTGATTTACGTTGACTGGCTAAAGAACCAAAAGGAGGGAGAATTTTTTTTTTCTGCAGTGAACGGTTCGGATCTGGAATACACTGTCTGAGAGGGTGCTGGAATCAGATTTCACCAAGACTTCCAAATGAGAATTGGCCAAGTAGTGTGATGGAATCGTAGAGTTGTACAGTGTGGAAACAGACCCTTTAATCTAACTCGTTGATGCCAACCAGATATCCAGTCCCACTTGCCAGCATTTAGCTCATATCCCTCTAAACCCTTCCTATTCATATGCTCATCCAGATGCCTTTGAAATGTTGTACTTGTACCAGCCTCCACCACTTCCTCTGGCAGCTCATTCCATACATGCATCACCCTCTGTGTGAAAAAGTTGCCCCTTAGGTCCCTTTGAAATCTTTCCCCTCTCTCACCATAAGCCCATGCCCTTTAGTTTTGGACTCCCCTCACTTGGGAAAAAGACCAGCTATTCACCTTATCCATGATCCTCATGATCTTATAAACCTCTACAAGGTCACCCCTCAGCTTCTGACACTCCAGGGAAAAAGTCCCCAGGCTATTCAGGCTCTCCCTTAGCTCAAACTGTCTAACCCTGGCAACATCCTTGTAAATATTTTCTGCACCTTTTCAAGTTTAACATCTTCCTTATAGCAAGGGATCAGAATTGAACGCAGTATTCCAAATGTGCAGCAGCAACACGACCTTCCAACTCCAATACTCAATGCACTGACAAGGCAAGCGCACCAAATGCCATCTTCTCTACCCTGTGTCTGGAAGGAAAGAAATTGCAGTGGTATGGAGTAAAAATGGGACTCAGGTGGGTGGTCTTGAGACTTTTGAGTTGCAATTGAGGTAAGGTGGCATGGATAACAAGCTGAATGGCCTTCTTCTGTGCTGTGGCCATCCTACAATTCTATGATAAGGTGATTCAGTGGAACATTCTCAGACAAAAACATTGAGACTGAAACAAGGGAGAGATTAGGAAGAGTGACCAATGGTTTGATCAAAGAGGTAGCCTTCAAAAGCAGCATCTTAAGAGTTGGGAAGAGCTGTAGGAGTTGAGGGAGAAAAATCTCAAAACCGGGGCCTAAGTATTGATGGCATGGCCAACACTGATGGAGCCAGGGTAGGAAAGGGCGATGGGCAAGAGTCTGGAATTGAAATACTGCAGTGATTTTCTTGAAGGTTGCACAGTTGGAGAGACGCCAGGCCATTGAGGCATTTGAAAACAAGGAGGAAGAACTTCTGTATTAAAGTCTTCCAATCTCTGAACTGTTAGAAGCCAGGCTTGAGCAAATTGAATACGGGAAGGATTGACATGAGCTCCTTTTGTCCTGGGTCCACAACACTGAAGCAGCCCACAATTCACATGAAACAGCAATCCCCTATTTGGGGGATAGTTCATTTGGGCAATCGATGAGTCACACCAGTGTAACTGTTTTGAGGGCGAAGGTTTGTGGCATATTGTCGGATTGGTATAGAGATGTATTCCTGTTGTCTATGGCCTGTGTCATGTCTAACCTGGAACCACTTGTCTATGGGGGACAGGTGTGTCACTTCCTGGAAATGGCAACTCTGCTGTCCAAAAGGAATAAAGCACTGATTATAAACAAAATGTGGAAGTTAGTGTTTTGGTATCACACAGAGGCTGCATAGTCATAGACATAGCAACAGCAGCAATGTCCAATTATATGTAGTGCCATCCCAGCATTGTGAAACGACCCAAAGCACCTCACAGAAGATTTACCAAGACAAACTCAAGTCTCTAGCCGCACAAGAGAATGTCGGAATGGGTGGTTTAGTCAAAGAGGTAAGAAAAAAGAGCATTTTAAAGGCAGGGAGAGATATGGAGAGAAGTAGAGATTTAGGAGAGATTTCCTGAGCTTAGGGCCTTGGCAGCTGAAGACACAGCTGCTAGGTTTGAGCAAGAAAATTGGGGAGGGGCATGAGGGCCGATTTGAATGAACATAGAGACCTCAGAGGGATTTGCAGATTGAAGAGATTACAGGGACATGGAGAGCTGGGACCATGACAAGGGTTGGGGGAGCATAGTGTGGATTTGAAAAACAAGGATAAGAATTTTAAATTTGAGTCAATGCTTGATCAGGAACTATTGTAGGCCGGTGAGCACGGGAGGGAGGTGGGGATAAGTAAACAGGTCAGAGCAAAGTGAGGGTATGGGGATTCAGGCAGTGCTGGATATTTTCAATCAACGTATTCAGAGATGTTACGATACACCTCTGGAACAGGTGGGACCTGAACCCAGGCCTCCCGGATCAGAGGTAAGGACACTATCACAAGAGTCCTTCAGGCACTTCTATCCCAAGTATGTCTATTACCTTCAGACGTTATACATCTATCCATTTTATTGCTGCCTAAAGTGAAAGAAATCAGCAATGGGGAAAACAAAACGTTGCATATTTTGTAGCAATTCGTCTTTGGTCAAGGTTGTCGGAGACGTGCTGCAAGATCAGATAAGGGAAACTACGCCATCTCTCAGATGAGTCATTTAACTGACGTGCTGCCATCCTCAGATGGAAATGGAAGATCCCATGGCACGGTTTTGAAAAAGAACAGGAAAATTATCTCCATGTTTGCTGATGGATATAATATCCTTCAAGGAAAAAACA